GGGGGGGGGAGTTAAAGCTCTTAAAAAAGTAGAATACATCAGTGACGCCCTGTTAGAAAATACAACTAAACGAAAAAATATAAAAAAACAACCCACTCGCAGTGCATAATGACCACGACAAGGAGGACCCACCTGCACCAAATGACCAACATGACGTCACCAGGATGACCAGGTACAGGACATGGAAATACTGAAGATCCATTTGACTCGTTTCCTCGGCGAGATGTCGCACGGTTGTAGGTCGAGTCACAGGTTAACGTTCACAGAATCGGAATCCCGGTTCCTTCTTCCTTTATTGGTCAGCTTCAAGCTGAAGTGTTGTTATAATGTAATATCCAACCACAGAAATCTCAACTTCACACAATAAAATCAATATCCCCTAACTCAAAAATAGATATATTTCTTTATCTACTTGCATAAAATTTATTATTTTGAGAACTATTTCCAACGAGAGAGGGACACAAAATGCACCACAAGCCTTCATGCAAACTGTGGCACTACTTCTCAAACTTCATGCAAACTTTGGCACTACTTCTCAAGAACCAGCGGAGACTTTTTAAAAATCCACTGGAAATAGGTCTAACATTTAGCACAACAAAACTTAATAATTTGATTATGCTTGAAACATGTGACGATGATTATTCATTCATGAAACACGTCTCAGACGAACAGACGACTGTTCACAATAATGAGGCAAGTCCGAAGACGAGCGAAGGTCCAGCCTCTAGGTTGTCAGATCCCGGATCTACTCAGCAGGGGGCTACGGGAGTCTCGATACGGTTACGAATGTTCTTGGAAGAGCTCTTGGCCTCTTTGATATCTGAAAAACAAAAATAAGGATTGACAGTTAAAAACAGATAATATCAATTAATAAGAAATTCAAAAATGTGCTTAATTAACCGTTTCTCAGCACGGGACGAGACCGTATCGGGCTCTGTAGTAGGGTTGTAGATTAGTCTTGGTCCTGGAAGAGTTAACATCCTATTCAAAAGCTTTAGATATCCCAGAGGGGGTACTACCCTCCCCCCTCCCCCACCGTTTAAAAAAAATACACAACCAGAGTAAGAGCGAGAGAGAGAGAGAGAGA